AAGACAGCAAAAGTCAGCTGGGACTGGCGGGCGGCGGCAGGGCCAGCAGAGGCAGTGGAGTGCAGGGCAGCCAAAAGGGCAGAGGGAGGGAGATAGGCTGGTGGGGGAGTTGAAGCAGAGGCGAGTGCAGCATGGCAGGAGAAGCATGAGGTCCTTGCCTAACAACCACAACAAGACTACTGGAACTGCCATCACTAAGCGGTGCGGTCACATGATGTTTCGCCTAACAACTATTTCACTTAGTGATGGAAATTCCAGTCCCAGTTAGGGTCATTAAGTGAGGACTCTTGAAAATATAAAATACTTGCTGAAGCTGCAGTTTTGAATGCTGGAGGTTTTAAATTTCCAATATCAAATGTTTGTATATTTTATATACTCAAAATTCTTAAGGGAAAATATTAAAAATGGCATATTAAAGGTATTCCCTTTTGTAATATCTCAAATAGTTTAAAACAATGTTTTTCAACCTTGGCAACTTTTTTTTAAGATTTCTTTATCCCGCCTCTATTATTTTTATAAATAACTCAAGGTGGTGAACATACCTAATACTCCTTCTTCCTCCTATTTTCCCCACAGCAACAACCCTGTGAGGTGAGTTGGGCTAAGAGAGTCACACAGCTGGCTTTCATGTTTAAGGCAGGACTAGAACTCACAATCTCCTGCTTTCTAGCCTGGTGCCTTAACTAGACCAAACTGGCTCTCTCCAACTTTAAGATGCTGGCTGGGGAATTCTGGGAGTTGAAGTTCACACATCTTAAAGTTGCCATGTTTGAAAAACACTGCTTTAAAGGATTTTCTAAAACTCCAATTACCCTAGATATCTGGACATGCATGCACACACACACAAACACACACACACACACATATTTCTCCTCCACACCCCCAAAAGTGGTGTCTGCAGAAATTTAAAACCTCTTTATAAGTATTTTTATGACTGCTAAAAAGTTGCTTAACAACTTTTAAGCCTTAACTGTTAAGGAGATTTAATAGAATGTGCAAACTATTGTACAATATCCTTAATTTCACATACCAGCGAAATAATGTTTAGGATCATCCAATGCAGATTAGAGCCCTACATGAAGAAAAAGAGATGCCAGATGTTCAAGCTGGCTTTAAAAAAGGCCAAGGAACACAAGACATAATTGCTGATGCATGCTGGATATTGAGAAAGCCAAAGAATACCAAAAAGAAGACAGCATGTGCTTCATTGATTATAGAAAAGCCTTTGATTGTGTCCATCTCATCAAACTGTAGAAAGTGCTCAGAAAAATGGGAATTCCAGAACATCTCATCGTCCTCATGAGAAATTTTGATACAGATCAGGAAGCCACAGTACGAACAGAACATGGCGAAACAGATTGGCTCCAGGTTGGCAAAGGAGTGTGACAAGGCTGCATACTCTCCTCTTATTTATTCAACTATATGCTGAATATATATTAAGGGAAGCTGGATTGGAAGAAGATGAGCATGGTTTTAAACTTGGAGGAAGAAACATCAATAACCTGCACTATGCTGATGACACTACCCCCATAGCTGAAAATGCAAAGGATCTGCAAGCCCTAGTAATAAACGTCAAAGAGCACAGTGAAAAAATGGGACTAAAATTAAAGAAGACCAAACTAATGACAACAAGTAGAACAACCAACCTTAGAATTGACAATGAAGATATCAAAGTAGTGGACAGTTTCTGCCTTTTAGGATCAACCATCAACAGTAAAGGAATAAGCAATCAAGAAATATGCCGCAGACTAACATTCGGTAGAGCAACCATGAAGGCCTTGGAAAAGATATTCAAATGCCAGGATGTATCTACATCTACAAAGATCAGAATTGTGCAAGCCATGCTATTCCCTGTGGCACTCTATGGAAGTGAACGTTGGACTTTAAAGAACCAGGATAGGTAGAGTATTGACACCTTTGAACTTTTGTGTTGGAGAAGACTCCTGAGAATACCATGGACATCTAAGAAAACAAACCAATGGATCACTGAATAAATCAACTCAGAGTTCTCACTCAAGGCACAAATGGCCAGGCTCAAATTATCCTACTTCAGACACATTATGCAAAGACCCAGCTCTTTGGAAAAGGCTCTAATGCTGGGAAAGGTGGAAGGAAAAAGAAGAGAATGATCAGCAGCAAGGTGGATGGACTCAGTTACAATGGCGATGAGTGCACCATTGGAAGACCTGAAAGACCAGGTTAGGAGTAGATCATCATGGAGATCTATCTATGTAGTTGCTAGGAGTTGAAAACAACTTATGGCACATCATCAATCAATCAGTCAATCAATCAAAAAGTTGCTAAAGTATGTCCACCAGTTAGTAAAAGGACTCGATTTTTCTCACGTCTCTAGTCCATAGTTTCAATCAGGTTTTCAGTTAGGATGCAGAACTGAGATTCTTGTGGTCATCTAGGGGAATGATTTACCCCAGGAACTAGGAAGCGTGGGGGGGGGGGGGGAGTTAATTCCTATTTATTCTCTCGGTAGCTTTTGATATTGTGGACCATCTGATAGGGTTGGGCCTTGAGAAGATTGTTTTACAATAGTTCCAGTCTTTCTTCTTAGGTCAAGTCCAGAAGAGAGTGCTAGGATTAGTGATCAGCACTTAGAGTTCCATTTTTTCCACAAACTGCTAGAAGTAATCCATTTTTAGAATGAAGCACTTTCAACATATTTTCTTGTTTCTTGCTATTCAAACACCAGAAAAATAATTGATTGCCTAAATTCAAAAATAGGCTGAGTGAAGGTAAACAAGCTGACCTCAAATCCAGATGTGGCAGGGTTAATGTTGGTTATTAGAAAGCCAAAGATTAAGCCTCCTGTGGATGATGCTGCACTCCTGAAAAGTGCAGGAAATTCAATACATGACTACAACACATTGTGCTTGGCAAGACAGACTAACAAATTAAGATAACTTATAGAAAATGGATCGCCCAAGGGGGGGAAAAATCTAATTTTGTTTTTTGATTTTAATTTTCTGCCCATATCTTTTACTTCTTGAGTAGCTTAAACAATGAAATAGCCACATTATTACAAATAAGAACTTTTCTTGAAATGCATCTTGGGGATGGACAAATCCATACCCACTCCAGCAGTAAGAACAGAGTTGGGTATATCCCCTATACAAAGTCATCTAGTAATTAAAGTATTCCACTGTTGGCTGAAGATCTTATTTATGGACCCATATAGATTACCCAAGCTGTGTTTCAAAGGGCAAACACTTAATGTGCCTCCTCACACTTGCGCTGCCCAACTTTCAAATGCCATTGCACAATATGAATTCTCCATCCAATTCCCAGTCCAATCAGATCTGAAGGTGCAGAAAAGCTGCAAACAAAGGGTCCTGGATGTGGCTGCCTAAGATGATACTGCATTCCTTAAATGTGCTAAGTCCCTGAAGTGGTTGGCTCAACACAAATCAGCCTCCCAGATAGAAAAGTATTTAACAACTTATATGCCTCAACATCTTAGAAGACCTTTCTGTAGAGCACGTTTTGAACAATTAGATTCTATGGTAAGATATGGGAGGTTCCATGGAGTTCCATTTGAAGAAAGACTGTGTACCTGTGGTGCATCAGCTGTTGAAGACATTGCATATATCCTATTTGATTGCAAACTATATTCTGCAGAAAGGACTGTTTACTTAGATCCTTATTTAAAAACTAAAAAAATATTGGGACTCCCATGAGAAACTGTCTTACTTCTTTCAGGGGACAAACTTGCATATCGCTAGCAAGGCTGTAATTTTTATATCAAAGGCCATTTCAAAGAGGACAGACTACCTAGAACAGATTGGGGTTAACTGTTGGGGTGATGATTTGTTATGACTATGTCCTACTGTTTTCTCTGTATTGGTTTTATAGTTTTTTATATGGTCAGACGACTAATCAATAAAGTTTCTTGTTGTCGTCGTACAAATAAGAAAAGCTTGGTTCATTTGGGTCACACAGTGGGTAAAGGTTTACTAGGTGATGTTATATTAAATAATCTCTATTCTCTTTGAATGACCATTTTACATGAGATCTATCACCTGCTGGCATTACATGAGATGGGCCAGTCCATGTGGACTGTCTTAGCTAAGTATGTCCATGTACATTTCAATAACCACAAACTAATTTCAAGGAAAGGGGAACCCACTGCTAAGCACCTGTGGCTCAAAACTGTATCAGCATATATCATATATATGGATAGTTGCATGCTTTTTATTTTCCTCTACTAAACTGACTCACTGGTCTCAAGAAATACCTCCTCTGAGTGCTGTGCTTCATAACAGCTCTATAACTTGTAAAGCTAGCATGGCGGAGTGAGTACTATTCAGCTAGGGAATTTCTTGAAGAGATCCCTTATCTCTTTTTTGACAAAATGAGAAAGAAATACTAGCATTAAATTGTTGTTTTATTCAGTGATGGGAATGTAGGTTATACTATTATGCTCAAATGGAGATTTCCTTCACCCTCAATTCCAATTAAGGCCTCGTGGGATTGCCCTTTTGAACTGACTTTCTGATTCTTTCCATGTTGCATAACCCGTTGCTATTTTTTTAAAGTTTTGTGACCTTGTTAATACAGGAAGAGAGCACAGACGTTGCCAAAATTTCTTTACAGCACTGGAGTATATTTTTGGAAATATACTCAAATTCCCTGCTAAATCTTCTTCTCTGTATCTAATCTAACATCTATTCTAATCTAATTATCTTATCTCTTATCTATTTATTTATAAATAAATATATAAATGTTATATATCTTATCTAATATCCCCAGGATTCAACAGGAGAGGCCAAAGTTACACAGCACCACTATCCTCATTTTTTAAAAAGAATACCGGATTGAAACTTTTTGATTGGAATTTAAAATTATATTTCAAGTGGAGCTCCCATGAAAAACTGCATGTCACTTTTTCCTTAAAACAAAAAAAGTGCTTCAGAGTGAATGTAATCTGTATGAAAAAAGAGTAATACATTTATAGTCAGAGCTGACTACCGCAGAAGAGTAGGCAGATCTGCTAGAAATGGGAATCTAGAGTAAGTTGTTACATTAGGGATGAAGGGGAGGATGAATTAATATTAATCATCAATGTGCAATTAAGAATGGAATTAGTGGCTGCCATAATGATATATGTGTTTTTTACAGGGAGAGGATGCACTTTCCAATTTATGTCTGTCTTTGGTCTCTGAGGATGCACTGGTGATATGATGAGAACCCAGAGGGTTTTTTTCACGTTTTTTGAGAGCTTAGAATTTTTGAAGGTACAAATTAGGTGCACTGAGAACTGCACGTTAGATAAAACATGGAAAATCACCATGTGTTGCATGTGGCCCACAGGCTATAGACCAGTGTTGTCCAAACTTGCCCACTTTAAGATGAGTAGACTTCAACTCCCAGAATTCCCCAGCCAGCATGGCTGGCTG